GTATTTCATCTCGCATTCGTCCTTTCTCACATATTTATTTACAGCATTTTAGTGCTAGCTTCTAAAATCTTAAAAATATTGTAATAATTTTCCCTTTATTATACATAAATTTTGCTTTGTGGGGTAATTTATATTGTATTCATTGCATTCATTGTAAATTGCATTCCTTTGATATATTTTTTTTTTATTATTTGTAGTATATTTTGTGAAGATTCTTCGTAAGTTACATTTAAGAGACTTTCCAAACATGCAATTTCACCTTACTTCTGTTATTTACGATCCAGTTCCTTGTAGGCTTACCTAATGCTTATGTGTTCGATCTTTTAAAATCTAGATCTTTTGTTCGCCCCCCTTCTCTTTTCATCTTCCCATGGTTTTCTTGGAAACCGCGGACAACATTCATTCCTATGACGTGCCCCTCGGACTTTACAGTTAATTTAGCCGAGCACGTCGCGCACTGCGCGATTTGTCCTGCTCAACACCCGTCTATTGTAACGCTAGTATTATGTATTCTTAGTGGAATGTAGATTATCTTTAATGAAATAATCTGATAATTACCACGAGTTTATACATGACACCTTTTCGAAGAAGTTCCTTCTGTAAGCGTTTCCTCGGGAATCAAACTGCGCGAGGAAACACGATATGTGACCAAAATAAGAAAGGCGGTTTCAATTTTAGATTGTTTCTTATTTCCCTCCAAACAAAAAAAGCATATCAAAATCCACATTTTGTCATTTGCCATTTTCCGTACTTTAGTAGGAGCTTTTTTGCTTTCTCCTTTGATTGCATTGACAAGTAAAAATGGCATTCAATTGTTTTCATTGAAATACGAGGTGCGCCCATAACGTAACCGGACAGTTTCTGGTAAATAAAAATGGTAATAACTTTTAAATAAATTTGTTTGCTTCAAAATAATCGCCAGAGGAGTTAATGGAATTTTTCAGCGTTTCCCAGGTCGTCAAAATACTCTTTATTGGCGCTGGAATCACAGTTCTCAAAATAACGTATAACATTTTAAGTTGAAGGGAGCCCTATCTTGAATTTTCTTCGAGGCTTCCGCGAGCCGATTTAAACATGGGTGTACCGCTCATACATTTGTGTTCTTGATAGCGACGCCACCATGTACTGTTCGAACCATCTCTAATGTTTCGGTAGCAGATTCACCTACTTTGTAATAAAAGTTTATGTTATAACATTGTTCCATCTCGAATCAATTTTCTTTTGCTCGAAGTCTTCTCACCAAATGAAAGTGAATCCGGCGTTTGGTATGGTCACGTTAAAATAACCAGTTTAAAGTGAATTTCATAAGATTTGAGAAGCCACTCTTTCTAAACATACATTTATTATTTCACTTTTTTATTTTATCGTTGTTTATTCTTTATTTTCCCGGTTACTTTAACATGCACCTTGCAATAAAATTTATTTGCACACCTCTGTATTCCATCTAAACACATTTACTTTAAGTATATGTAGAGCTCTATATAGATTATTGAGCGAGCGAGGTCAATAATGAGAGATCAAGAGAGTGCGAGGAATATATATTTAGAGAGAGAAAGCAAGACATCCACAGAGAGATAGAGCTATCAATAGAGACACAGAGCGAGGGAGAGAAATCAAGAGAAAGAAACAGATCAGAAGAGACAGAGGGATCTCGAAACCGAAAAAGAGATGAGGAGTGAGAAAAAGAGTGAGAGATCAACAGGACAGAAATGTATAGAGATCAAAAGAGCGAAAGAAATTGAGAAAGAGATGTCGAGAGAGATCAAAATAGTGAAACGGATCGATAAGGAGATGACGAGAAAAAGATTGAAAAAGAATGATCATTACATTGCATGATATATAATATTGTATTTCATATGTCTAAATTGTCTTTTAAAAATATATAGTTTCGATTATATCTATAGTTTCGAGGAAATGGGTCAGCCTACCATTTAACGCATATTTCCATTTTTTTTTCTGAGTTACTTTTGAAGCTTGTTAACCTTACGGCAATTAACAATGCAACGTACACGCATTAACCTTTGGCAGGATAATGCAAATGGAAAATAAACAAAGGCTTCCTACTTTTACCGCAAGTAAGCAGGCGGGAGTTTCGCTCGCCGCTCGCGAATAAAAGCTCTCCGTTTTCTTTCTAAATCCCTTAAGCGCATTAAAAAAGGGATGGAAGCTGTTAGTATAATTGAGGGTAACTTAGTGCGACTAATGGAATATAGTGTTAACATATTTTCTTTGCTTCTCTTAGCTTGTTGTGAAATGGTATGCGTAAGGGTTATTTTGACAATGTTTTATTATACATGTAAGAAAGCTTACCTCGCAAATAACTTAAAATTCTGTTACCTTCGTACGATACATAACATTTTTGCATTGGAATTTTGAGTTAAAATATAAGAACAATTTTTTTTTCAAAGTTATTTTTACTTCATAGAAAATGTAACTTATAAATAACGTAAATTAGGAGAAAGACATAAAATAATTATGAGAAAACGATGTTTTTGAATTTTGTAATTGTTAATAAGCTAATTAATTAATAAATACTATAATAACTAACGGCATTAATAAACTAATTAGCTAAATAATCTTTATTGACTTTTGTAAAACGTCTTGTAGAATAGTATATTGTCATCATAATTACGAAAGTATGAAATATTTCGTGAAATTCAGTTTGGTAGTATTATTTATAAATTATTAATAAACTAATTAACGATCAGTACTACACCAAAAAGTCTGAGAAGGTTCAGATTTTAACGGTCGCCAAAAGTGCTGCTTTAAAGTTTAATACGGATTATCTGTAGAAACTATCGATAAGGATAGCACAGGTGAAAAAACGAGAGATTTTATAAGATACTAAAAGAAGAGACATTTAGACTACCATGGGAAAGTTCTATATCTTTTGCCTATGTCAAAAATGAAAAAATACAGAATGTCATTCCATAAAAATATTTATCACTTTTAGTTAGATATATATCAAGAATAAAATACCATTTTTATCGAAATAGGTCTCATTGAAAAATAATGTTAAGATCTGCATCTATTATTTAATAATCTGCTTTGTTCTCAAATATCTGCATTAAAATAGTCTACTTCGTTTGTTATTTACACACGTTGAATCCATTGGTACACATCAACTTTGCAGTCCGCTTCAATCGACAGACGTTGAATCCTTCTGCACATACCCACTTTGCAGTACGTTGCAATTCGCACATTTTTAATCCACATATTAGATGAAACGACATAGACATTACTAATTTTGAGTTCATTACTTTCGAAGGCTCAGTGGTACAAAAGTAATACTTTTAACATATCACTACCCTTTACGGAACAAACTCGGAAGCGTTCCAAGGAATGAGGCCTATCGAATTTAAAAAAACAGGTGAGGAACACATTGCCGCTTCTGTTCGGCTACAGATTGGATATGATGTGGTAAATGTATTTCATATATATGATCTGTAAAATCTGACAAGGATATTGGATAAATGAATTTTCATTTGATGCATCAATTATATTGTTTCCTATAACCATTTGACATAGGATGATTCTTACACCAGACATTAAAAGTTTAAATCAAGGAGTGAAGAGTATTTATATCAAGGCTGACCAAATGTTTTTTCAAGCGAAGACACACCAAGAGTTTCCCATATACGATTACCATTATACTTGTATTGTTTTAAATACAATTAATTAAAATTTTATTTAATTTTTTACTGGTATTAATCTAGGATATCAATCGGGAATCTTTAAAAAGGAGTTACTATAAACCTCCTAAAAGTTAAGGAAATTTTAAAACGGGTCAATGATGATCAGCCTGTTAGTTAGGGGTCGATAGCCAAATACGCATCTGCAATGGATCGGCATAGTTAAGATACGATTGATTAAAAAATTTTAAAATTAATACTTAACTGGTTGTTGATATAAAGCTGTATCATGCAATAAGGAAGAGATGATGTAAATTAATATAAGGGGAAAATACACTAAAAGTTTTAACTATATTTTAAATCAACAATATTTCTTTTAAAAATATATAATTTTTTTATGCAGTGAGTGCAACATAAAGAAATAAAATGCAAGAACGAAAGAAAACACAATTAAAAAAATATGAAGAAAGCAAAATTCGAAACGAAAACAAAATCCTAGTTGAATATTTTCGAACGAGGTGATTTTAGTTTCAATTAAGGTAATTTTAGAACAGCTACTGAAAACACTGCATGAATGCATCAAGTGAAAATAATAATAATAATAATATAATAATTCAATACAAATATATATTATAAACCATTTTTCAAATCATGTGTACATTTTCTTAATCTAATTGTTATCTTAAAGCTATTTATTCGCTGTGTAGCAGTGTAAATTTGTGGACAGTTACTTGTTGTTCTTGTTGTAAAGACTTATGTGTATACTTATTGATTTGGTACAGTTATAAGGTATTTCTCCCGCCTTCTTGGCGTGCCTTCATAGTGTGGTGGTCTGCACACTGTACCGGTATTCCAGAGGCTCGCGGTCCAGGCGAAGGCGGTGTTAATTTTTCATCTCTCCTGCTCCCAAAAAATATTTAATGCCTCTACAGTGGGGCCCGAAATAAAAGGGTGTTGGATGATGATTCACCTCACCCAGTATTTGGCGATTGGGTTCCCTAAAACCCCAGTCGCCCTTTAAAAGGGAAGTAGTACATACGGTATTTCTCCCACCTTCTTGGCGTGCCTTCGTGGTATGGTGGTCTGCACACTGGGCCGGTATTCCAGAGGTCTGCGGTTCGATTCCCGGCGAAGGCGGTGTTAATTTTTCATCTCTTCTGCTCCCCAAAAATACCTAATGTCTGTACACAGTTACCTGTTAATTATGTGCACTGCTACTTTCAAAGAATTATATGTACAGTTAGTTACTTGTTCTGTATAGTTACTTGCTATATCAAGTTATTTGTTAATTATATTAATATTTATTTGTATAAGAGTATTAGTAATTATTTGTTAACCACAGCTTTAATATTTTTTCTTACTTTTCAGGTATGTGAATTACACGTATCTGGCTACAAATTCTCTGTTCTAAACAATGCATTTGTTGTTCATCGAGGTCTGAAAACCCCCTCCTCTTTCCATAAAGATAAAGAAGTGGATCAAGAAAAGAACAGACAGTTGTTCAGACAATTCAAGTTTGAACTGAAAGAAAAATATCCCGACTCTTCTAGAAAATGTTACTGAATGGGAAGCGGTGTTGTTATAAACATAATACAAACATACTCTGCGGAAAATTATATTCCATTTGCGGACTGGTGAAAATCTAAGATGCGAGTCGTTGTTGTTGTGTTTGGGTCAACAGACCGAAGGTGCATGGATTTTCACTGAAGTTCTTAACTGTACTTAATATCGTTTATTTTTACGTTTTTCCTATTCTAAGTAATAGGAAATGAATCTTGTAATTTTCCTCGTAAGATGGTGAGTGTGAAGTGTTGTTCTACATGCTTCAAAGTTATTATGTCTAAATATTTAAGTACGACAGTGTTTATAGAAACAAACTCTTTTCATTTATTCACTTACTTTCTCATTTGCCGACAAACTGTTGTTTTTAGAATACTTATCAAAGGCGCACCCATTTATTCTACCTCTTTCTGCTGTAAGTTTAGAAAAAGAATATAAAGTTTCACCTATGAAGGTGGTCATATCAAGAAAAAAAGAAAATTCCATATCATGTTCATATATTAAAGTACAAATAATCAAAAAATTTAACTCAATTTGGTAAAATAAACAGTGAGTATTTCTGTGAATAGATGCTTTTTAAGAAATTTGTATAAATACATGTCTTTTACTGTAATTGAAGCGTTATTAGTGTTTAAAAAGTTATTGTATTTTTATTGCCGTAGTAATTTTTATTGCCGTATTTTTTTGTAATGTCAAAGAAATATTCTGTTACTTTCTCACAGTCCGTTCGTTATCTGTAACCTTGCTATTATGCGTTATTATTTTATTATTTATTTATTGTTTATTAGGTATTATTTATTTTATGTATTTAATATGTATTATTTATTTTATAATTCTGTGCATTAATTGTGAATTTTAAATTTACGTTAATCTGTGCTATAGTTACTTTTTTTTCCTGCTGATTACAAGCGTCACTCTGAAATTTTTGAGATACAGATAAAAGCTAAACATACCAAAGTTAAACTTAATTACAAAAATTGCATAAGTAAAGCTTAATAAATCTTAGGAGCGTTCAAAGTCCTGCTATCCAACGTCAATGCATCTTTGCAGGCGGTTATTTATAAAATTAAATGGCATAAACTATAATAGAAAGTCATACATTTCATGGAAATTATGAAAAATATGCTTTTATAGCCTCATCTCACCTTCGGAATGAAATCGATAACCAAAATAAAAAAAAAAAAGCAAGATCAGCATAATAGGATTTATGCTCTATCTCTTTTATGTTTTTGTTTTTGTTGTTGTTGTTCAAGAAATTGAACTGACAATTTTACTGAATGAGAGGATGCTTTAACATGGCGAAGCGTGAGTCGCATATTTTTCACTTTTTAAACAATTCTCAAGACCAGTTACTTATTGAACTTATTGGAAAACCCGTTAGTTGTAACTGTCTTCTGTCCCTCTGACATAATGGCTTTGACCAATCCTGTGTTTCTGAAGAAAATGGTACACATTGCTCTTTTCATTGCTCGTTATCTTTTCCTTATTTTCGATTTGGGGTCATCAGCAAAGACCCTTGCTTTACTTTCTTGGCATAGTGGAATGTCAAAACGGTACATATGTTTCATCAGCTGTTATAATTTTAAAAATTATGCAATGTCCACCACTATTAAGTAGTTTTAGAATTTCGTTACAAATCCTGATGCGGTCCGCTGTTTGGTGTTCTGTTAATTTATGGAGGACCCAACGAAAAGCTAACTTTTTGCATATGTAGGTTCTGATGAATAATTTTATGTACAGCGGCGTATCCAGTGTTACGTATTTCCTGTATCATTTGATAAGTCCATCGATTGCCATTTTACGTTTGGCAGACATATTTTCTGGGACTACAGCGTATTTCTATGTGATCCCACGAAAGATAAATTTCAACTGTTGCCATAAATCATCGTCTACGGACACAATGTTCAAATTTACACTTCAGCGAATAAATTTTGCTTACCCGATATTATCCACCTTTGTCTCAAAACTTTCAGAGTTGCCTACGTATACCTTGATACCGCCATGTACATTTTTGGGGGTTCATCTTCAATATGAACAAGTTGCAAAAATTTTGTAAAAACCTATAGAATGCTTTAATATTCAAACTACATTCAACACATTTGCGGCTTACATATTGCTAATTTCTTCACAGTAGCAAATTATAGCATCTCCTCAGACTATCAAAAAAAAAAAGGTACGAAGGAAATCATACATGCATGAAACAGTATCTTACATTTCTCAGTTTTCGGCAAAATAAATTATTCTTAGTATTATTAAAAGCTGTTCTCAGAAAGATTTCAAGCTACTTCAAGGAATAATGTTAGTTTAGTTTGAATAAATCTGGAAGTATGAACTCGTGACGCATAACCAAAGAGTCAGCAGAAAATGTAATGTAAGTTGTAAATATGTAACGCAGTCAAATAGATAAAAAGTGTGCTTTTCAAGATACATTAATGTATTTCCACTCTATCAATATGTAGTGAAACAATAATCAGTTTCTTTTTGTGTGATACTTACTTTTACATTCTTTTTCATGTGCTCCACAAGTACAGTTTTATTTACTAGAAATTTAATAACAAACTGCATTTACTTCAAACAAATATTTGCATTTAGAAAATTACACCTAAAAGTGTTAGTTACAGTTCCATTCCAATTTGAAATACGAAAGAATATTAATTTACGAAAAATGAGATCAGAATATTTTGTATTAATACTTTTATAAGTAATAAAACTTTTTAAGAATACGTAATTAACGTAATTTACTGGTTTAAAACTTATTAGTTGCTACTCTAAAAATACTTTCGCCTTATTATTTGTTGCAAAATTACAAATAAAGGAATTAGTAAATCGTAAAAGAATATCATTGAATGGCATTTAAGGCGAAAAATACAACTTGGTATTCTTCTTATTTTATTATTAACTTACTTCTCAATGCAAATTCAAAATGAAGTCGAAAATCACAAATTTGAAATTAAATATCTCAGTCAACTTTTTTCGCATAGCGGTCAAACATTTTGCGTTTTATTTTTTATAGCGAGAACAGAATTTCACGAAATATAACTACAGGAAACGTAAGAACATATAAAAAGATAGATTTTGCAGTTTTTACAAAATTTACTTTTTGCTACATTTATAAATGCCCAAACGAGAACATTTGTGCCATTTAAAACATTTTTGAAATTAGATGTATGTTTTCAAAGTGCATGTCTCGGTTACGGTTTGCTGTGGGCGAAGTGTACACTCTAAATGACAGATCTATTCAGTAATGCATTTTACTGAGTCTGAAGTCACATTTTAAAGCATCTGAGCATTGGTGTAAACTGCCGTTGTAAAAATCTTCTTTTATAACGATTTATCCGACCAACGGTAGGGACGGGTAAGGACTGTTCCACGCACCGTGCATGTGTACGTACCATATACATGGAGATCGAAAATTTTACTTATCAAATTTACAAAAATTGGGAAAATTCTGAAATATACATTATCGTTCTTACAGAAAAGCTGTTCGAAGCATTTCCATATTTGCAGTTCGAGTGTAATCCTTGGGAAAGTTCTTCCAAATTTACTACATCAACGAATAACTAAATATTCCCCTCCATAGTCTAAATTTATTTTTATGTAAAATTCGAAATTAAAATTATTTTAGTTAGGTTGCTTTATAAGAGTTCCACAGAATAGAAGATTTTAATTCATTTTTGTTTAAATAAATCAGAGTAAAAGGCAGACAAAATGTTCTCAAGAACTGCGTTTATTGCTTTTAACTTACTTAGTGATTTTAATGCGGAAATACGGATTAAACGTGAAAGTTTTACTGAATAGCCACATGCTGGGACACGGAATATAAAAACGTTTTATTTAAGGGCAGTGGCAATAAATTGCTTTGAAACAGCCTAGTTTGTTAATTAAAACCGAAAGTTAAATAAATTAAAGTTAAATACCTTACGTTTTACCAAATGACAACAATCTGGCGCACTGGAAATAAAAATGCTTTTTCTCGAACAGTGGCAACACTGCTCGCTTTGAAATCATTGAATTTTCAAAATCTCATTAAAATCATGCAAAATATGAAGTAAATCAAAAACAACTTCGGAATTCAAAATTCTTGCATCGGGTTGCACATCTTCGTGAGGAGGATTACGCGTGTTTAAAATCTGGCAGTTCTAGGTGCCGTTATTCCGCAATGAGAAGAATACAGGTACTGCGTGCACACATACAGGCTCTTCATTATTCATTAATAGGGTTTGTGCCTTATTTATGAAAAGCGTCTAAATTATGAACGTCTTTCTATAATTTAATTAAACAGAAAACATAATTGAATTTTCTTGTACACAAAGAATATTAGCTTTTATAAGGTCATTAATGCTGTACATCTAATTTTTCGTAATCAATTATTTTCTTGTTTATACTCTGTTGTATGAAAAGTAATAATGACAATTATTAACCTACCTTTATTTTATTTATCAGAAAGAATCATCAAACCCAATTATATTGTATTGTTATTTCAATGAAACAGACCTGCAATTTTTCTTTCCTAAAAAAATAAAATATCGTACACTTATTTTCTTTTCTTTGAACCTGTCAATTAATTGGAGAGAAAACATTTACCTAATTGATATTAAATTGCAGCTAATGGTCGTATCTCAAAAAAGAAGAGAACAAAAAAATTTTTTACGATCTGAAATAATCTTTACCAATTTAATATCACAAAAGATTTAAATATAATCAGTTTATTTTATTTTTATTATAATAAATCTTCGCTGAGTCAAAGGAAATGAATTCTTTTAGAAATAAATGTGTCTGTCTCCATATAATGAAATTACGTTTAAAGATATCAACACGATTAGTTTGTTTAGAAAATTCTTTTCAAATGAGTATTTCAAATTAACATTTTTTATCCATAAGAAATTTATGGTATTTTATACTTTTAATTCCGCTATTAACTATGTAAAGTGACTCATCTTTGTTTTCGGGCAATTGTAATTTTGAAATTTACTGGCATAGATGTTGTACTAAGTATTGAAACAGACCGCACATATTTTCTTAATATATTATTTTTCCTCTATATTAAGACTGTTTGTTACAAAATAAGTATCATCAAAATATTCTTTGCAATAAAATAATTTATTCCAGAAGTGTTATCTCGATGAAGTGTTAATCGATGACTTACAAATTGATTCGAACATTCGAAAGTTTCGTTGTGATGTTTTAGGAAGCAATGTTTCTTGCAATATTTTTTTTAATTTTAAATAAAAATGCATCACAAGAATTATCGTCTAAGTTTTTAAATTGTTACTGGTTCAGCAAAATATTTTAACAGCTCCGTATCTCAAGTAAACATAGCAAGACACTGAAAATTAATAGCAAGTTCTGTTCGAAATTTAATTATTCACGATTTTAAAGATGATAAAAGCATTCAAATCAAAAAACTTTTGATAGAGTTCAACTTTCTTCACTACATTAAAACGATCGAAATAGTTTGGAATTATTCAAATTGCACTGAAGACTGCCCTACATTTCCAGATAAGGAATCACAGATTTATCCTATGAAAAATCAAATAAAACCCAAAAAATATTACTGTAAAACTTCCAGTATAGAAGAATGGCTTAGAATGAAAGTTAATTCTGGAACTGTTAAAATAGTCATTAGAACATTTGGATACAATGGGCGATCAGCAAGAAAAAATGTTTCGTCAACAAAAAGCATAGAAAATAATGAAACTAAGCCTGGCGTGGGAAGGCAAAGATTTATCAGACTGAAATAATGTTATGTTTGCGGGCGAGTCGAAATTTAATATATTTGTATCCTATCTACGAATTGCTGCAAGGCGAAAATCAAATGAAGAATTGAATCCGAAAACCTTTTGCTTTCTGTTAAGCCTGAAGGAGGAAACATAAAATTTTGGGTATGCTTCGCTGCCTCTGGGATGGGAAAGTTACTTTTTATAGAAAATAATAAGGATCAATATAAATATATAGTAAATATTCTTAATGAAAAACGTGGGCACGTTTGCAAGAGAACTTAACAAACAAAATATATTCCAGTTCTATCACAATAACGATCCTTAATATACTGCGCTAAAGTTCGTTTGTGGTTATTATACAATCGTCCTGAAGTTATTATCAAAACTCCTCCATATATTCTCCAAACTCCTCCTCAGATCTATCTCCTGTGCAACTTGTATGAAATGAGCTGGTCAAAAGAATAGAAAACCTGATACCTCTGCTAAAAGCAGCTCTCATGTAAAAGTAAAACTTTGTTACACATACACACACACACACACACACACAAAAAAAAAAAAAAAAAATCTTCAGTGACAAGGGGTAAACCGGCAGCCAAGGTCAGTAATAAGGCGTCACTGTATGCAACCACACGTTATAAGTTTTTACAAAACTACCGCAGATTTCACCGAAATAAACTACAATAACTCACATTTATTTTCGGGCACATGTATTTTTGAAATTTTTTTCCATAGATCTTGTACTAAATATTGAAACTTAAGCTTCAAATGTTTTTCTAATATACTATAGTTTTTCTAGTTTAAGCCCTGCTTGTTGTAAAGTAAATATCATCAAAATATTCATAGTAATGAAATATTTTTTTAAAAAAGTCAATAACTCACACAATAATTCGGACAACTCAAATGTGTGTTGAAATGTTTAGCTACTCAGTGTTTCTTGTTATAATATCTTGTTCTAAATGAAAATACATCGAAAGAACTATCGTATACATTTATAAATTATATAAAGTATATTAAAATTTCATATCTGAAATGAATATCTCAAGCCACCACAAGTTAAGAAAAATTCTGTTAGAAATTTAATAATTTATTTTTGAAAGCTACTGAAGTATTATGATATCCAAATTTCCAAAACACTTTTCATGTAAAACGTAACTTTTCATGTAAACATGTAAGTTTTTTCATATTGGAACACTGTTGTATTTGCAGAAATATATTTAGATTTATATTTATTAAGTTTAATATATTTGGGTCTAAAGACGAATTATTAAGTGGCAAAAGCCGAATTAAGAATTGAACTCGAAAAGTCTTTTGACTAATGTTATGTGCGGTTTTGAGATGTTTTGATGCCTTTAAAATAAGAAATTTAATTTTTATAGAAATAAATATAAATTGGTATAAATATGTTAAATATTCCTAATGAAAATTTGAAAGCATGTGCAAGAAAATTTGGAATGCAGAATGCATTCAAGTTCTATCAGAATAACGATCATGAACATGCAGCCTTAAGTGTTTGCTAGGGGATATTATATAACGTTTCTTGATATTATCATATCTCATCCATATTATTCAGATTTTTTCTATAGAATATGCATGGAATCAGTTGGAAAAAAAAATAGGTAAGCACGACATTTCATTGAAAGCTCTGTTGAAGGCAATTTTTAAGGAGAACTGAAAAAACTTGAAACCTTTTTACTCGGAAAAATTAGTTAAATCCTTGCCAAATCACAAGAAGAACCACCATTTTAGCTAAAATGTATCTAATGAAGTATTAGATGTTCCATTACTTTCATGTTTCTGTTAAATATAAACTGTTTATTCAAAGTGCCCGAATACTTATGTGAGTTCATTTCAAAACTTCTTCAATAAAATGTTTTCTTTCTTCTTTTTTTTTTTTTTTTTTTTTTCAAAAACGTGTCGAATAATGTTTTCGAAAAGAAGCAGGTTTTAAAAAGGTGATCACTAGTATACCTCAAAAGAAAAGTCATTTTGCTAACATTTAGTAAGTCATTTATAAAAATAAAACTGAAGAGCACAAGTGTCCGAAAACAATAGCTGAATTTCTCGGCTCCTGGGAATTTTCAGCATTTCTACACAAATTTGAAGAAATAATGACTTTTTTTTTTGTGTGTGTTCTCAATTCTGGTTAATCTATGATTTGTGATAAGTAAATGTATACTAATTTGTATTAGTATTGTTAATTATTTATTGAAATATAAAAATGTATTGTATTTCATCATTGTTATTTTTAGAAGTTTTCGTTATTTATTATTGTTAAAGGTACTTGTACAATTACAGTACTTTTCTGTTAAATGTTGTATCATGATATTGCTTTTGTTAAAAATAAAATGCTTTTGATTTAAATAAGCTTCAAGTAATTAAAAATTATGAATTAATAGGTAAAAATAATAAATATACCTATTTACAAATACCCTATTTCCTCGCGTATTTCCCTCCTTTTTTTACTTACTTAATCGTCTGAAAATCGAGAGGGAAAAGTTATACGAATAATTTAATTTTCGAAGGAAGCGGTTGCAGTAAGAACATAGCAAATTAAAAGCAGTCGTGGATAAACTACCGGTTAACTCTCACAGTATCATTTCTTTAAAATAAACCTACATTCCGATAACATACGTAATTATAAAATTAATATTACAGTATCTAATAAGCTATCTTCATTGAATCTCGCATCTTCTCATTGTTGTATATACTACACCTTAGGCCTCGAAACATCTATAAATAATGACAGAAGGGGAATGCGTAGCCGACTCCGCGAATGTGTACACTTAATGTCAAGTCGTGTTGGCTTCCGTGTGATGAATCAGCTCTTGTATTAGACTAGTTAAAGTTCAACAGTTAGAAGAGAGAGTTTAGGCGTGACCTATGCAGGTAATATGCGAGGATTTGACATTGTTAGTAAGACGAAAGCAGCCATTATTTGTAATTTAAAAATTCCATTTTAAAATTAAGGAAAACTTTTCTTCCAAACACACTGAGGAAGAGGAATGTGGAACTAATGTTTGAGAATATTTCTTTAAAATGCTAAGGGGGGGGAAATGCGAGAAAATGCGATATCCGTGAAATTCGTTATATATAATCTTTATACATTTGAATGCTCGCTTGTGTAAAATGCATTTAAGTCTGTAGCAAATTCGACGGTACTGAAATGTTAGTTTGTTGTACGCAGACGGGGAGGCGTTGTGAAGGGGTTCGTCTGTATTCGCATTCCGAATAGCGTAAATAAAAGAAAAAAATATTCGCAATAACGCATGTAAATTTTGATAAAAAGTGATATGCTTTACATTAACTAGAATTTTTATTATTTGACGATTTCCTTAACTGCAAAATAAAAGGAAATTATAACGTTTTCTACTTGACAACTGATAACATGTCATGTGGTGTTTGCAAGTTTATATCCATTAATTACTGTCAAATGATTATGTTCAGTTATCTACTACATTCTGTTATTGTACGTTAATGTATTTTATTTTACTGTTTTATCTGTGTTGCATATTTGTATGCACCGTTGTTGATTTTGTACATAGAGTCTAAGGCTTTTTTTGAAAAATGTTGATGAATAAATAATGACTAGTCACAGTTCTGCATTGAAAATAAACGTGAATTCATTTTCGTGTTTGATTTCATCGCATCATTTCTGAATTATCGTAAACCATTTATTTTCTTTTACACTAAACTTGCTTGTTAAATGAGAATAATCAAATCATGTTTCGTAAAGCAGTTAAATAGTACCTTTCATCAATGGGAACATGTTCAAAGTTACTAATATTTAACATGCGTTAAGACCTTAATAATAAAACACCCAAATCTTGAGCATATTAATACTTTTTTTGCAGATACATATTTAGGAGGAAAATGACTTTTATGTGAGATTTGAGGTACTTTTCGGTTAAGGGGGCATAAGTCACCAAATGTGCGCCAAAGCTCCGAATATGATAGCCTGTTTATACCCCGTCATGAATAGCTCGCAATCTTAAGAGTGTGCAAAGCCAAAGCTGTGCACGATGTCAAATTTGTGCAATTCCTTGCTGTTTCCGCTCTGTTTCATATTAGAAAATATTAAAAGTCCTTACCGAGCTTTTATGTATGTAGAGACATCAGGTTATTTCGAAGCAGGAGACATGAAAAATGTGCAATACCCTCGCTGAGACTCGAACCTCTCGATACGCGCCGAGTGTGCTACCCACTACAGCACGAAAGCATGCTAAGAAGGCAAGAGAAATACCTTATATGTTTCCAATCGTTGGTAAGAATCGTAAAATTCCAGATACAAAAGTGTTTTAATGGCGCAAAGATTCATGTGTTAGTACTTTCAATATATATTGAAGGTACTAACACAACCAAGGGGAGATTATTAAGGATAGTTCGATTAAACCTCTCTAACATGCCGTCTGACTGGGGATATAAAGGTGACGTTTGAGCTTTGGCAATGCCGAGTAGCTTTCAGATTTCTTTAATTACACCCGAGGTGAATTTCCTTCCTTGATTGGAATGTAAATGAAGAGGCACTCCGAATTTGGAAATCCAGTTTTGTATCATTACCTTTCCAGCTGTGACAGTCTCTTAAGCAAGAATGGGATACGATTCAGGCTACTTAGTAATCAATCAGGATGTATTTGTCAATGGCCATCAGGATGTATTTGTTGGCATCAGGAGATCGTGGCAGAGGTCTCAGGATGTCAAAGGTGATATGTTCAAAAGTTTCTTCTACATTGTAACATTGCACCTTGCCCGGCTGCTTTTTTTCGGTCCTTTACCACCCGCGCAAGCATCGCAAGATCGGCACTACTGCACGTCATTCTTTGCATTACCCCAGTGAAATCGCTTTCAAACTCTCTGCAAGGTTTTCATTATTTCGATGTGAACTTCTTGTAAGACTGCTGTAACTTATAAGACTAGTTCTTTAACGATATCTGGGATATGGTATCTTGGAAGTATCAGCTGCCATCGGAAAGCCTTCGCATCATCCAATTCAAATTTCCGGTACAAGACACCGTTTCGAATATGTAGGGAGTCTCAGAGTGCCCAATATTGTTTTGCTGTGGGATTAAAGATCGAAATATCCTGCCAGGTAGGTTTTCCGTTTGAAGACTCCATTAAGTCAATTATGGTTTTAATGTCGCCTTCTTCTAGCTGGTCTTTTCGGACATCATCATCACTCCATGGGTCTCGATCATCTGAAGTTGATGTTGTAATTTGTCTTGCGACTAGATTAAGCAGCTCATGTTTCTCTTCAACCCTAGTATGATATCAGCAGCTTTCTGAGCAGGGTCTTACAGAGAAAGAGTCGGCGTTTCTAGGTGTGAATCCCTTATGATGATGGGTAGTTATGACCTCAGAGGCTGAATGCAGTTCGTTATTTTTAAAGGCCAAAGAAAAATATTATTTCCTTAGAAAGTCCAATCCGAGTATACAAAGATCTGTAATATCTGCCACGTAAGCCTTGTGATAGTCGGTGGCACTTCCAAACGTGATGTTTACATTTAACTTCTCGTCTATGTCGATTTTATCACCAAGCGCAGTCCTGAGGGTAACACAGGATGACGTCCAAATGAGTTCATCTTTAAACTAAATCTAAATCTAATGAGGTAAATCTTTCCGAATGATGATAGCATTCGCTCCTGTATCGATCACCATATTACAAAGAACTCCAGTAGAAACTTGAAGCGGTTTAAAATAGGGCATCTCAGTATCTTTCAAACTCCATTTCCCGAGATGGCCACTAATTTGTTTCTTGCGTTCTTGCTGACGAATAGTCATATTTTCAGTGACCTGGGGGTGTTCTGCAATTCCTCCGTACGTGGCCTTCAGAACCGTTGTTCCAGGACATTGATTTCTTCTCACTCCTGTTCCATCTCAAATCTATAACTTAACTGTTTAAATCGACTGTCTTATTTTGCGTGCTCTTCAAAGCATTGACTTGTCTGGATAAATCATCTAAACGAGCCATCACTTGATCCACTGACTCGTGGACTTAGCAGTTTCGAGTGGATGGCGATGTCTACGAGTTGCTTGCTGGACTGCCTCGAATTTCACGACGTACACTAGAATGCTTCTAATGTCCTTGACATCTGTCATTCTTAGAGCTTTCTGTATTTTAGAATCCCGAATGACATCGATGAAGTACTGCAGGGACAGGATTTCCTTTGTTTCTGTCGAGTATTCTGAAAAGACCATCTGAGGCAGCCTTTCATTATCTGTGGCAAAATCCTGGAGAGTGCCCGTGGGCTTCTGTTGACGAGATTTTAATTGAAGCCTGCTGTAGTCTTGTAAACACTTCTTTCCAAAGCACAGCTCCAACGCGCCGGACAGAGCTCTGAAATCCAGCCTTTTGTTTTTGGGAAGAGTCTGAAGGATATCCGCTGCGTCTGCTCTCAGAGAAGCTGCGAGATGACAGGCCTTAGCTCGGGGATCCCATCCATTCGCTTCTGCCATGTTAGCAAATTGTACTTTCCAGAATGTCTATCCATCATTCGTGGATAACTTCATAGAGGGATGAGCAGACATGGGTACAAATTTAAAGTAATCACTATTGCTCCCTGCCGTGGCTACGAATTTCTTTCAGGTAACAACTTCTTTGGCGACCGCAGTAACCCTGTCATCAATTTGTTGTTTCACGGCAGAAATTCTCTCTTCTATTTGTTCTTTTATATAAGAAACTCTTTCTTTTATTTGTTCTTTTACAAAACACACTTTTTTTTTAATGTGTCCAACTTCATTTTCAACAGCGTCAGTTCTGCCTTCCATAGTCTTGAATTTGTTTACTATTACGCAGGTAATTTCTCTTTTCATTTCCTCTTTACTTGCTTCAATCTTTTCTTTAACAGATACTTCCCCAGCTTCCATCTTTTCCGGATCAGGTTGCATCTTTTTTTGAGCCGCTTCCATTTCATCTTTAACGGATTCTTGACCAGCTTTCATCCTTTTTTTTTGGCTTGATTTGATTTCTCCTTTAACAGCTTTTATTTCTTCTTTAACAGATTATTGACCAGCTGTCATATCCTCTTTAACGGAATCTTTCATTTCTTCTTTAAATGCAGCAAAGGCTGCTATCAGCTGTCTTAACTGCTCCTCCATCGCTCTTGTTAGTGACATTCAATTCCAAGTGTTGCGTGCGTACGGGTTCGTAAAAGACAAAATGCACAAGTCCGACAAAAGCTTAATGAAATTTATTCTCATCAAAAGAAATATAACAGAATGCTGGAATTTTTCTCGGATATATACATACAAGTGTTCAAAATATCATGCAATATAATCAGTAGTTATCCTTTTTAAACTACTAAAAACATTAGAATACAACGCAATGCAGAGAGAAAGCTAATCCGATCCGAACTCACAAAAATAAAAACAGCAGCTTCTTAAACAATAACTGAGATGTCTCTCTTCGGATTTTTAAAGCTTTCAATCGTTTGCGAGAGAGTTCTAGTAATTTCTTTACATCTCAGCATGTGTGGAAACTAACAAAAAGATAGAATTACGGACACAGCTTGCACAGTATTCAATTACATTTATTCAAGTTCACTACAAAAAAAGAGATATCCATTTATTCAATCTTAAATGTACAGACTCTTATATTTTTACTTTTTCGGCGTAGCTTTCTCTTAAAATTTGTCACGCGCTGTATTGCACTGGGAAATAAAACAATTTTAATTATAATTCTATCTAAAAAATGGCTGACTAAACTAACTAACTAACAATATTTAACCTTTTTTTCCCAAAATGGAGATCATATTTTCAGAATATTCGGGTAAGGATTTTTGTGGGCGCAGTGTACATATGTATGACATATAACTATTATTACAAATTTTCAGGCTTTAGGGATAACGGCATTTAGTTAGAGTTCAGGTTGCTACCCAGCCGTTAGAGTGGTTAGTGATCCGGATTGCTGTATCGATGGGACCGACTCGAATTACGGAGAAGGCATGGTTGTAACTGTTCGTCCCCTTCAGTAGAAAGTAACGATGGCCACTTATTAGGTGTTAATAAAATGGCTACCACTTCCGGCCACTTTTGGTGTCGCAAGGCTAAAGGATTTCAAATACAGGACTCGGTCATTAAAAAAAAAGCTAGCTTTCGGGCCAACGTTTATGGTAAGTAGCGCCACGTTAATGGAAAAGTAGACGATAAAAATTTTGATACTTCAACAGACACAATCTAAAACCTATTATTCTTAGCATCGTTCCATATGCACAGTATACAATTTATTATACACAAAAGTTTTCATTTTCAAAGGGGTTTAAATTCACAACCACTGTCGTAAGCAGATATATTCAGTTGCAAAAAAGATTTCAAATGACGCAAATTTTTTAGCATTTTATGCTTTAAAAATTCAATTTGCAGAAATTAAGTAATGTAAATTCTTATACGCTCTTCTGGTCCTTTTATTTAGGAAAATTATTTACTCAATATAAAAAAAAATTTTGACTTCTATATGACTAAATCGACCGAGATATTTTAATCTAATAAGAGATCATATTCAGGGGCCATACGCAAGCGGAAAAGCGGAATGTTTTCATTTCTACGTAACAAAAAGTAAAATATTGGTTTAGAAAATGTTTTCTGGTGTTAACACCTTTTATTTTATTGATAATTTTCATATCATTGTCCATAACGG